TCTTTCTCGCGTTGTAAGATGGGACACACTCACAAATAGCAGTTGACCTCATCCGCCCCACTCGGCCACACACAATTTATTGAATCACGATTCCAATGCGTCCCGGGCCTCTGATTCGAGTTGCTAAGAGCCAACAGCATCGTTGGGATGGTCGCTACCGCAGGAATACCTTCTTTGCTGTGAACTAGAAACACAATTACTTCTTGGGTATTCAGCCCAGGTATGATGCTTCCGTGCCCACATTTTTTAGCATTCCGACACGCAGGCCCCAAACTGAAGCATGCTTAGTCCTGTTCCGCGCTGCAGGTGTAGCGAGGCGGGGACCTCAAAGTCATGTTCATGTGATTATAGCAATGGAAACAACGTCGTTACGGGTTTCTTTCTGTGCACACTCATGTGCACATATTCTTAGCACATTGCGTAAAAGCACCGATTCCCTTCTCCTGATACAAATTTCGCAAGTGTCTGAGTTTCCATGCCGCCGAATCGTCCCCGTTGACGCCATGATATCACGATAAAGATGCCACTTAATAACCGCTGTTACGTATGCTATTGTTTCCATCACGTTGTGTCCATTCTTAAAATGTTCGCTTCCTATTTGCTCTCCGTTAAATTGAAACAGATGATGCGAAGTCGGAAGCATGGGCTGGCGTGAAAGTGCCCCATTGATCAAAATTGACCTGAATCGTAGCTTTTGGCCGCCCATGCAGCTATACCAAAATCGTTGGCCCGGGGCAGGGTACAAACACAGAGGACAGGCTGGGGTGCATGTTAGCTTCACTACCGGACGATTGGTGAGCGGGAGCAGCGGCCGACCCTGTCCGCCGCCCAGACGCGAGAGGGCGCGCTGGCCACCGCCCCGCCGGTGCCCTTTGAAAGCCGTGTTTGAGCAGGTGGCCGTAGCGCGGCCACCGCCGCGACAGAGCTCACAATGGAGCCGCCGCTGCTCCCCTCGTCCCCCCCCCCCCCCCCCCGCCCCCCGCCCCCCGCCCCGGCACGGCGTGACGGGACTCCAGCCGCCGCTCGTGCCGGCCGCACGACTGTCCGAACGAGCGGCCCAGCCGCGTTCTGCGAGCGATGGCTGCCTGCACCCTTTGGATTAAGATTTCGCTGGCGTTATCACACCCACCTAAAGCAGGAGCGTGCGACGCGTCTTTCCGTCCAATCATAATGCCTTTAAATGAACTTGAAAAAGCTAGAGCTTCATCATGCCTGCATACAGCGCTTCCAAAGATCAGCAGAGAAGCTGATCGGGCCCAAGATGGAAAGACACGTTAAAACAATGACCCGCGTGAAATCCTGCGACTTGTATACGAAGCGTGAATGCCGGTGTCATGCTCATGGTGGCTCTGCTCAGTGAATACACGATTGGACGGCTTCATGCCATTTTATTGATCAAACTTGGCACATAATTTTATCTCGCATCCTACTGGCTTCATGACCCTGGAATTCTGATGCGCGGCATCTTCACAGCACAATGCCCAAAGGTCCGTATGGCAGTTGGCTGGCGTGCTGGTGGGGCAGCCGGTCAGATCAGCGCTCCCCGCGCCCAGCAGTGGCTGCCGAGCGCGCCCAGCCGTGGCTGCCGAGCACACGTGTTATCCTCCCTCAGTTGCGCCGGCGACAAATACGCGGTGTCACAAGCGCAGCAGTACTGACGCCCGTCGCTGAGCCAAGTCACCGATGCGACAGCGCGGTGCGCCAAACGGGGACGTTGGTCACCGATAGGGCAGCACGGTACGCCAGACGGGGGACGGTGGTAACCGATGCGACAGCGTGGTACGCCAGACGGGAGACGGTGGTCACCGATGCGACAGCGCGGTACGCCAGACGGAGAACAGAGGCTAGTGCCACGCCAGTCGCGGCTCGAAGATTCGCAGAGCCGAGGTCAAACTGGTAAACCACTATTGGGTTCACCTAGATGACAGTGCGCGCCCAAGACAGTACAGCCACACGCGCGTGCCTCCATACGGTCCGGACCACATGGTTCAGAGTAACACGTGCCATGATTCAGAAGTGTTGCCTGTGTCAAACAACGATATTGCGGAAGGCGTTTATTTTGGTACCTTACCAATAAAGCCTCACTGTCATATGCTCAGTATAGCCCTTCGTGCATTTTACCTGACAGAGCTGCCAAAAATTTTGAGCTCGCAGCCTAGTCATCAAGCGTGGTGTTTCATGCTCGATTTCAATACACCGATGCTTACGTAATCACGAAATTTATCGATCCGCGGTTAATTGGTCGTAGGGCTTACCACGGATGGCAAGCGCCTTAATTTTGGCAGATGATAGGCACCTGTTGTCGGTACTCCCAAGGGCACCATGTTCCACGAAACCCGGCCTCTTCAATATTCCGAAACCTGATCGTGTGGCAAGTCCAGCCAAGCAGCGACTGCATTCCTCTCTAAAAGAAATGGCAGCTCCGCCAATTACGCCGCTGCGGCAACATGCGATCAGACGTCGAATGCTGATGTTTTAAGAATCCGTGTGTGAATTCATCTGAGAAAGTAAAAAAAACTAAAACACCCGAGTCATGATGAATATATCCAAAATTCCGTAAGTTCCTGAGCGTCCTTAAACTTCTCTCCTCATATGAATGATCGGTACTGAACAACTTAACAAGTCGATTGTTTCCTCGAACGCAGTTAGGGTTCCTTCAGTTCATGAGATGGTGAACAGTTCTTTTTAGCTTCGTAAACGCAAGACATGGAGCGCTGACATATACTGACATGGAATGCAACACATGGAATGTTGAGATTCTAATGAGATTCTGTTCATATGAGCTTCTCAAACAGTGATGGAACGTTGGACAACTGCCAAGTGAAAGCTGTCGGCGGTATTTTTAGAATCATTGCTGACTTATTCTTTAGAACAACCGGCTGAGAACGGGCCATAATTGCGTCTGGAATGTTGAAATACAAGCTCCGCGGAACCATTTCAGCCATTTGACTGATGAATGAGCCAGCCAGTTGTTGTGCCACTTAAAATGCACAGATTGCCTCCTCCAATCGGGACTCTACATTAAACCACAGCCGGCCAATGGGAGAGTCTGCCACACACACCAACAGCGACTAGGCCCGGCGGAGTGACGTCACACGACAAACGAGGCCGAGAACACCTCCCGACGCACGCAACACGCCAGTGGTCCGCTCGCGCCCCTGTCCAACAACAGCCGCCCCACGCCTCACTACAGCTATACACCGTTTGGCAGATGGCTGATTGCACTGAAAGACACGAGCGGCCGGGCTGCCCCGCCTGTGGCGAACCGAATAAGTAGGAAAGAAGTATATGTGCTTAGTGGGCACAAGCCAGGTCATCAAAGGTCATGCAATTGAGTTAACCCTCGCACTGACGGGATTCCTCGTCAGACTAGAACTGACGGCGGAGCTGACACCTGTCCCCCCCCCCCCCCACACACACACGCACTCTGCCGTCTCATAACAGAATGGACATAGAGATAAATTATGCATAACTGAATAGCTTATTAGATAATGAACCAGGTTTGCTCAGGCTGGATATTCATTTCATGTCTAGGTCATGTCAGGTCATCAATATTTGTGTCCGCTTGTACGCAGTTGGCTTACAACTCGTCTGACGTCTTAATATGTTAGCAAGTGGTCGGTATCGTGAGGCAGAATACTGTGTTCGACCCACGATTTTGCTATCAGCGTTTCATTCAGGTCGACCAGTTGTCCAAGCAGTTGTATTTCAGGGACGGCCAAGTTCATTGACTAATGACGCCCGTTTGTAGTAAAATGTCACGTGCGAATCAGCAACCAACAGCCTGGATACGGATGCAAAGGAGCAAACCTTCCCGTAGAGCGCATATTCTAAAAGTTATAAGCTATGTGTCGACTTGGGACTTAATGATGGTAAATACCTTTCTCATGTGTGTTATAGGGAAGGAATGAGTGATTATGGAGTAAGTGATTCTCTTGGTATATGTTGCGAAGGTGGAATAAGCGATTATGGAATAAGTGATACACGTTACGTATGCCTATGGTGATGTGGTGCCTTCACATATCTGAAAAAATCGAAACATATTCATGCTGACAACTTCATGTTTGTTATCTGCTGCTAATAAATAACTATTTTATCAGCAATCCTTCATTTGCACTCCTTAAGAATAATGTGTATAGCAGATAATTCTTGGATCGCTTGGTATGCTCCCAGCATGAAAGCTTAATTTACCATTTTGCTAGTGTGCTCTGTACAAGAAGCATTGCCCAAAGAAACAGTTTGTACGTTTTTGTCATGCTCCAATGGCTTGGACCTAAACGAGACGCGGTGCGCGTTTGATAACATTTTTAGACAGCTGGCTCTCATAAGGTGGCATACGGTTGCGGTGTACATTACGGGTTGATCAGTAAAAATAAGTAAGAGATTCATATTTACGTGGGAGCTTGCTTCAACCCTTCGGTGCAATTATGTGACCACTTTCCATTTAAATACGTTCTTTACTTTACATTTTGAAAGTTAAGTTCTGACCATGGCGGTCTGCAAGTCCATTTTTTTTCGAAGTACCTCTAGAACTCATCTAGATCACTGACCTGACATGACAAAGACCCTACACTTATGTTTTAAAAAAATGAATCTGAGATAATGTGCGAACAGTGTAAGGGCGTTAACGCAAGCCGTTCTGCAGCTACTCTGAAGAATATCGGAGGAGGAATGCGTGCCACTCTCATACACCTCCTCCCCTCATCCCCCCCCCCTTCTCCCCTCCCCGTCAGTGCGAGGGCTAATAACACGTTCGATTATGACGACTATTTACAAAAGGAGACTAGATCGTTAGCCTCTCGTCGCAGTCTTGGACCGCACAGAGGCTGCCGGCTGGGCTCCGGTCGGCGGGCGGGCGGGCAGCGCGGCCGCGCTGCTGCTGGAGCGGGCGGGCCGCCGGCGGCCTCCCCTCCGCGGGCTGATCGCCGCCGCCGCCGCCGCCGCCGCCGCCGCCGCCAGTCCGTCGGCGCGTCGGCGCGTCACCGCCCGGCAGTGCGTTTGATAATGTGTAATATCACAGGCGCGGGTCGCGCCGCGTTCACATGCAGCCGCACTCCTCCACCACCATCTTAGGCAGGTCGCGCTTGATGATGTTCTTGTCGGCGTCGAAGTAGAGCAGCGACATGGGCGACAGCTTCGTGGGCGCGCAGCACGGATTGAAGCCGTCGAGGCCGTGACCGCCTGTCACGACCCGGTAACCCTCGATCACGTGCGTGTGGAAGTTGCGGAAAGTGTCGGGCGTGCGGCTGGCGCAGTTTCCCAGGCAGTAGTTGGCGTAGTAGCCGCTGGGGAAGAGGATCCAGTCGTCCCAGCCGAGCTCCTGGAAGCTGACGTAGAGCCGCTGGCGGCAGCAGTGGGTGACGCGCGCGCCACAGTCGAGCGCGGCGCGCCGCACCCGACGCGCCGGAACCGCCGCCGTCCGGATCTTAATGAAAGGAACACTAGACGAGTCTCTGCCCTGCTGAAAGAACTTGCTTTTTACTAACGATTTGCATCCATTGCAGTCGACTAATAGTCTCAGTGGCCGGTCGGGACTGAGGTCGAACCAGTCCTGAACGGCCTTCTTCAGGTTGAACCGGTGCCACCCCACGTCCTCCAGACGGACGCGGCGCTTGGCCACTAGCTGGGGACGGCCGCGGTTTGCCTGCGGACGGATGCAGGACGTCAGTCAAGTCATGGTGACAACCCGAGGCAGGGCTCCGTCGGGGCAGGGCCGCGCCCTTGGAACAGTGTCAATCGAAGCAAGTCTTTCGAGAGCGTGGAGGCGGCGTTGAAGCATAGTTACGGCACTGGGGGGAGGGGGGAGGGGGGGGATGGGGCCCCACCACGAGGGATGACTCAGTTTGGACACGGTCAACACACGGGGAAAGGATCAGTCGGCACAGGAGATCGGCACTGCTTGAGGAAGGGAGAAACCGGGTCAGGGTCAAGACGAACGGGAAGAATCGGTCGGCACAGATCGCTAAGTTTCGGAAGAAGTTATCGATCGTGTGCGATGAGAAACTATGGACTTGAGGAAACATACCAATAGCGTTTCGGAGATTACCGTTAATAAGTATTAAGGTTAGATCTCCTGGGAGATAATCCCATACATCATGCAAACTTTGGAACCTTCAGTCACACGCCATATTTCGATCCATTTTCATCGTGCATGATCCTCATGATGAAATCGCCACTTTCTTGACCAAAAATCCTTCATAAGACTGTGACGTAAGTACAAAGCCTCATCATCCTAAGTAGGCATCAGCGAGTTCATGTGATAATCACTAGGAGTAGCCCATATTTTTAGTACGTTTTTGACCATATTCGTGGTGATATAGTTGCCGAATAGCAGATTACTGACCATGCGGGAAGCTCCACTAAAGACGCCATTTTTGCTGTCAGTAAGACTTCTCCAAGCCACCACGATGCTAAGACAACAGAGGCGTGCTGCCCCCGACGCCGAGGGGCACGCGCTGTTCATAACGGCTCGCGCGCTGCATGACGTCCGCACCTAATTCCAAGTCTCTTATCCGGGATTTACATCTAGATGGGCGGTAGCGGGGGGATCAGAGCTGCGATCTTCACCGAGGGCGCATACCGAGGATAGCCCACCGCGGCGTGGGGTCTGCCCTCACTGGCTCGGCTCAAGCCTTCCGAGCCGGCGTCGTCTCAGTCTGGCCACAATCCCTGCACGATCCGCCCGTCCTCCGGCTGCACACGCCGCTGATCCGCGTCGCCGCCGGCTGTGCGGGGCTCCGCCCGGCTGAGGCGGCGGCCTCCCCCGCCGTGGTGGCTGGGGTCGGGCCGGCGCCGCCCCGGTCCGCGCGCATCTCGCCCCGGACGTCGAGCGTCGGTGGTCAGACGACTGGCGCCGCCCGACTCAGCCGCAGCCGCCGCCGGCCCGGCCGCCCCGGTGGCGCTGTTTGTTTTCGAACGCCAGCGGCGGGCCGACGCGTGACCCTCCAGCGGGCTGGCCGGCGGCGGCCTGCCGGCGAGTGACGGCCGGCCGGCCCCACGGACGGGCCGCCGCCGGCAGACGGCCGCCGGCATTTGAGCCGCGCGACGCCAGCTGTCCTCTGGCATTTGGCCCCGCGACAGCCCCAGGCGCTGACATTTCCTCCCCGGGCCGCGGCGACCGACCAGCCTTTGGCGTTGACGCGGTCGACTTTGGCGACAATACTGCGCGGTCTGGACGCGCCCGACCTCCCCGTTGCTGGGGAAAACGCTTCAAGCATGAACTATCGGGGGCTCTCGCAGCTGGCGTCTGAATGGCGTGCTACGAGGTTCCGTCGGATAATTGCATTTCATAATTGTATTTCGTCCATACCACCCGTTGGTTATGGCTCGTTTTGAGGCAGGAAGGAGAGGGAAGCGTGACCTTTGGACAACGCGAAGGGAAATGTGGGAGATCAGCAATGCTCACGTTGTCACAAAGATAGGGGGTCCACAGTAGCAACGCCACTCCAATCAATAAGTTAGCCAAGTGAGATGCAAATCACAATCAAACCTCTCGATGCCATTCTTTAGTTAGTATCTTCAGTGTTGATTGTCTATGGGACCGAGACATGCGGAGGGAGCAGCACCATGTCGAGGACCGGGACAACCGGACGGACTCACTGCTGACATGTAAAGCGAGTGGGACCATGCCGGGGACCAGGACAACCGGAGAGGCTCACTGCTGACATGGAAAGCGAGTGGGACCATGCCGGGGACCAGGACAACCGGAGAGGCTCACTGCTGACATGGAAAGCGAGTGGGACCATGCCGAGGACCAGGACAACCGGAGAGGCTCACTGCTGACATGGAAAGCGAGCGGGACCATGGCGGGGACCGGGACAACCGGAGAGACTCACTGCTGACATGTAAAGCGAGCGGGCGGGACCATGCCGAGGACCAGGACAACCGGAGAGGTTCACTGCTGACATGGAAAGCGAGTGGGCGGGACCATATATGGAAAGCGAGTGGGCGGGACCATATCGGGGACCGGGACAACCGGAGAGGCTCACTGCTGACATGGAAAGCGAGCGGGACCATGGCGGGGACCGGGACAACCGGAGAGACTCACTGCTGACATGTAAAGCGAGTGGGCGGGATCATATCGGGGTCTGGGACAACGGGAGAGACTCACTGCTGACATGTAAAGCGAGTGGGACCATGGCGGGGGCCGGGACAACCAGAGAGACTCACTGCTGACAGGTAAAGCGAGTGGCCGGGTCCATGCCAAGGACCGCGACAACCGTCGGAACTCACCGCTGCGCTGCGTTCGCCCTTCTCCAGTACCCTGAACACGTACAGGGTGACCTTGTGACGGCGCCGACGCATGTGCTGCAGGTTGCGCCGGATGTCCTGCCGCAGCGTCATCTCCACCCAGAGGAAGGAGGAGCGCACGCGCAGCTTCTCCACCTGAGTCTCATTGCCGCGGTAGAAGTCCATCAGCCGGCTGCTGTTGTAGCGCGATCCTGCCGGGGCGAAGGCGGCGTCAGCTGATGAGAGAGGCGTCAGCTGATGTGGGCCGCATCAGCTGATGCGAGCGGCGTCAGCTGACGTGCGCCGCGTCAGCTGACTCGGATGACTCCTCCCGGTGCCACTGGCCGAGGGGCGACCAACGACCCGAACGAATCGCTAACAGTGCACACGGGAGCGTGGTGGGCGGCAAAGACGACACCGCAGTCTCGAACCATCATGTGGCTAGAACCGTGCCCAGCGGGCTTAACGATGCACATAGATCTCGAGAAGTAAGCCGCATTGGTCGACACAACCATGTACGCCCTCAGAGACCGAAACGCTGCCAGCATCTGGAATGGCGCAGAGCTCCGGATGTGACGTAGTCGATTCATTGCGGTGGTCTTACTGCACGTGGGAGATATAATTACAACCGCGCCATTCTGGCAGGCCGTCGGTCTTTATGTGTTACATCCGAAATAGCAAGTCCGACCAGAGTGCCGTGGCCTTTGGCTTGTTATTACATTCAACCGAATACCACTTTTCGATGAGCGGAATCAAATAACTGTCTAGTCTCCGGATGTCCTTCCTGCGCAAAGGTCATATGCTATCAATGCTATGCTATATGCCATATGCCATATGCTATCAACTGCAGCCATTCATAGACCACTGCTGTGCTTGTCCCGTAATAAGCGGCGGACACCGCAATTTGGTATCTCGAAAAGCCCAGCGGGTTGATGCATTAACCAAGGTGGTGATGTTGGCAATGTGCTTGTGTATGCTTTGGACTTGGGGATGAGTCAGCAAACAACGAAGCTGCGTTTCGTAGCACCGGAGCTGTGAGTTCAGTCGCCTGGTATCTTACACGCGAGACCGGGCAGCCTAGCTGCGCGAGACATGGGGTTCCTGTTAACCAGCAAAGGCGGGGTAAAATCCACATCTCTTGGACGGTGACAGCAGCGGCCTGCCCTGGCCATGGCCCTGCGGCGGTCCTGCGTGGCAGGTGATGTAAGGTGTCGGAGCGATGCTCGGTCTCACTCTTGCACAGCTATGTTCTTTGCTCACTTGCTCTTATTTCCTCCTCCTAAGTCGCAGGTGCAAACGGGCCGATCTCCAACCGCATAACGAGCTAGATCTGCTGTAGGTCCAGAGCCGATGTACGTGGAATCGCTGCCGCTCAAACTCACGCTGGCATTCAGGCTAATCTGCGCCCAAATGAACGTGGGCCGGGCTGTCTAGGTAAACAGAGCCTGCTGACCAGCGGCCAGGGGCGTGCGCTATCTGTCGGCAGACGCTCGGTCTGCGGCGTGACGTCGCCGGCAAGGTGCGACGGACGGCCGCCGCCCGATAACCTTCAGAGCGTCGGGCGGAAATAGCCCAGATGGGCCGATTGAGTGGGGACACGCCCCCGCCATCGCTCCGGCCAGTCAGCCGTGCGCACCTTATCTTGGCGCTAACGCCCCGGCGTCCGGCGCGCCACGCTATATTTAGCGGGTGGCCAATCTGGCGCGCGCTTGTTGGGCACCTGGTTGGCTCGGCCATTCAGCACCCCTTCGCCGGGCGGCAAGAACTGCAAATGGCCGGGTTAGCGTCCCCTCGCTCGGCGCCGGCCGCCCCTCGGCGTCGGCAGGGGGAGTCGGGCCCGCTCCGCCCCTGTCCAATTCATTTCGCCGCTCCCATTGTTCGCAAGGCACACTGAAAGCAGGGTGAACTTATTAAAATCTGAAGTTTGCATTTTCCACGGCCGGCTCGGGGCCCGTCCCGTTCATCGCTCCGCTGTGATCGTTGGCTCGGGAATACTAATTGGCTGCAGTGTCGGCGGCGGCGGTGGCGGCGGCGGCGGCGGCGGGGGGAGCGCCGCAGTCGCGTCCGCGAGCTTCTAAACAATCTGTGCCGCTGAAGGCCGCACTCACATCCAATTCGGGTTCAGCCGTGTGACAAATGCACGCGAGCCTCGAGCGCGGCCCTCGGTACGAGGGTGGTGGCTGTCGCCCCACTCCGCCAGATCGGACGCAAAATGTAATAAACTACATGGTGTTG